GTTGCCGTTATTTTTTTAAATTCCATGTTTCCTGGCATTACTGACTTCTCAAAAAAAAAAAAAATCCAAAATATGATTTCAGTCTGGTCATTTGTGCATTGAGTGAGAATTTTGGATTAATTTTTCTATGATTTAGATTTTCATGACTATATATGGTATTTTCTAGCATCAAAGTTCAAAAAGCCATAATCTTCGTGCTTTTTAAGGGCTCATGGGGATTATAATCGCATCTGTACTGTTTCCAGACCATTTAGATCCTATAGATCAAACATAGTTTACTGTGTTAGAATACGTTTTGAGGTAGCATCAAAGAAAAGTCACACTGAACAATGTTCATTAATTTATTCTAAAAAATATACAAAGGATTGCTAAATTTTCAATAAAAAGGATGCACTTTAAATATCAAATTTTGGAAAAAGAACTGAAGTAATGACAAGAATTAAAAAAAATTCTTAACAATTTATCTGGACTTCTTAACCTTCACCCAACTTAAAGTTACCCAGGTTGAGAAAAACTGGTCTACTTAAAATCTTATTTATTATATATGATGAAATAAATTTTCAGTCACAAAAAGGGTAAAAAATAGGAAAATAGATACTATGCCTTTGAATCATACTGTATAACTGTCAGAATGTATTGACTTCTGCACGGTCCTTACAAGAAGTTTGTCTATTTTTATTTATATCCTGCCTCTATTATTTTACAAATAATCCAAGGCAACAAACATATCCAACACATTTTCCTTCTCCTATTTCCCCCAAAATAATCCTGTGAGGTGAGTTGGGCTGAGAGAGAGTGACTAGTTTAAAGTCATCCAGTTGGGTTTCACAGTTAAAGTAGGATTAGTACTCATGGTCTCCCAGTTTATAGCCTGGTGCCTTAATCACTAGACCAAACTCTCTCTCCAGGTTGAAAAATAAAATTTAATATTGAAGTTTTATAAAGCTTTATGAGTAGGGGTGGGATGCTACCGGTTCGGCCTGGTTCTATAGAACTGGTAGCTCTGAAGAGCAGCAGACACCAAACCGGTTTGGTGTCTGCTGCTCTGTTTGGCCCAGCCACCTGCCCAGGCTCTTACCTGTCCTTTATTTCCTGCTTTTTCAACCTCAGCTACTTTGTGCGGTACAGCTGAGGTTGAAAAAGCAAGAAAGAAGAGGAGTTTCAAATGCTGTGTACCCGCACGCAGCGCTTGTCAGCTGTCTGGGTGGCACAGCTGAGTTTTTTGGAAACGGTCTACATGTGCACACAAAATGCACTCTCACCAGGGATGGGATTCTACGTGCTGGAGAACCAGCAAATCGCGCCGCTGGTCTGCCTGCTCTGCCTGATTTTGGGTAAAAGTTGCACTTTTTAAATAAAAAATTCAATATTTACATGCATGGTGTGTTGTGAGTTAATTTTGTGAGTTTGCATGCTAGCAAATTTTATGACTTTGCTAGCAAACACATTTTATGTGACTCAGGTAGCCAATTGCAGAAAGATAGATATCTCAATGAATCTGTGATTTGTAAGCAATTCAATCTGCCTGCCTGCTTTGCCTGATTTTGGGTAAAAGTTGCTCTTCAATATTTACATAAATATTTATAATATTTACATACAAGCCATGCCCAGCCAGTCACATGACCACCCAACCACACCCACAAATTAGGCCACACTCATAGAACCGGTTGTTAAGAAATTTGAATTCCACCCCTGTTTATGAGGCTAAAAAAACTCTTTTAAGGTCAGTTGGCTGATTATAAACCAGATTGTCTTATCAACGCTTTGATAAATACATCTTTAATCATGCAGACTTCTGGATGAACTCACCCAAAGTAATGAAATCAATCACTTTCTACCAAATTGTATGTGATTACTGATACTAGACAAAAACTCAACAATTATTCCTTACTCATGTTTTTCAAGAGTTTTGTAAGTTTTTAAAAATATATAGATTTTAAGATTTTATATGGTTATATAAATATATACATACATACCTGCGCGTGCGCGCACACAACACACACACATTGTGTGCATGTTTGTATGTGTATACACACATACAGAAATTTTAACTCATGTAGCATCAAATTTTTGCTTTGTCTTTATTTTGGATAAATTTTACAATGTACTATATTTCTTTGTTACAATTTGCTTTTATCATGCTTTGTTTTTGCTATGCTTTTAAGACAGCTTCAAGATATTAATTATACCACTAGTTATTAATTATTAATATTTTTTTATGTTTGAACCAAAATATAAAAAGATTTCATAGTTGTAATATTGTTAGAAAATAATGTGTCCATAAATAAGATAAACTGTAAAAATTATTCCTTTAGCCATATTAGGCCGGATGCGTCACGCTTTGGCCACCCATGCCCGGTTTAGTGAAGGGGAGAAAAGTCATGATATGTCACGTCACACCACCGTGATGATGCGAGTTTGACCCCCTTCTCCAGACCAGGGGTCTCCAACCTTGGCCACTTTAAGACTTGTGGACTTTAACTCCCAGAATTCTGGAAGTTGGTCCACAAAAGTGGCCAAGGTTGGAGACCCCTGCTCCAGACCACGGGGGCTTCAGTGCGCAGCCTGTGGGACATTCCTTGATTGAAGAATAATAAGAATATAGGCATTGGGACTATCCCACTTTTATTTCAACAGCATTTACCTTAAACGGTGGTGTTCTTTTTCAGAAAAAGAAAAAACTCATAAGTAGCAACCAGTGGATGGAGAAGCCAAAGGCAGATAACCAATTTTTATATGACTGAGTCAAGCTTTTTATTTTCCAAGTTTTCTAAGGTCATTTGAAATGGAGCAGGACTTAAACAGATTATTTGGATGATTACAATTCTACAATGCTCCAGGTCCTAGTTTGCTAAGAGTCTGTAATGCTTGTGGAGAACTATTACAGGTAGTACTGTTGAACTTATAGCCATTTGTTCAGCAACATTCAAAATTACAGTGACATTGCAAAAATTGCACTTATAACCATTGTAGCATCCCTACAATCACAATTTGAATGCTTGGCAACTGGCATCTGTTTAGTATGGTTGCAGTGTCCCAGGAACATGTGATCACCGTTTTGTGATTTTTCTAGCTGGCTTCTCACAAGCAAAGTCAGATACGCTTAATGACTGCATGATTCAATTAACACCTTCACTGATTTGCTTAACAACCATGGCAATAATGGATGTACAATTGGGTGTGATTCACTTAATAATTGCCTAGCTTAGCAATGGAAATTCTGGTTCAAATTTTGGTTGTAAATTGAGGACTACTTGTAATCATTTCCTCCTCAATATATATTTTACCCAACTCTGGGAAGCACTGAGTATTTCAACCCTATCTCCTCAATTTTGCCCTAAAATAAAAAACCTGTGAGTCTCTCATCTGTTCATTGTGATGGGAAGTCTCCTAGCGCATTGCTTCTGCATTTTGTTCTCTTGCCATATTCTGGCAACCTGTCAATTCATTAGAAGTGCAGGAACTGGAAACCAGCTATGCCCTCCTGTGTGGCTGCGTGACAGAGCAGTTAAACATAATACTGTGGACTGCTACAGCAGCAACAATTCTTGTTTACAAATAAAAACTCCCAGCTGGGACAAAACTTTGCAACTGCAGGGGGAAGGAGCTGGGATTGAATGTAATGTCAAATTATACAAGTTTTGTGCAGAGCTCAGTCTGCTAGAAGAATGGAGTGGTAGCAACCTCTTGAACTGACAAAATATGCTGTTTCCTTAGCTATTTCCTTATTTATTTGTTGTTTAAATTTTCTCATATTAAGTTTTGCATTTTGCAGAGATCTCACTTTTGCAGAGTTCTCTTTAGCTGCTGTGTGATCACAGAAGAAAAGGTTTTATTGTTCTTGTACACCACAGATCATCTTTTGGCCTTTGAAACTAAAAGTGCTGCACAGCTCTGAGGATATTTAAATATGCCAGCATAGGTGCCTCCAGAAAAGGAAGGAGAATATTCCAGAGGCCAAAATCCAGTTTAACAAGGATCTTCCTTCCTGCAAGTTAATAATGAAGGCAGCATTATGAAAAGGAGAGAATACTTTACAATAGAAACTAATTGTTTAGCCTCTGAAATACCCACAGCAGAGGAACTGCTGAAGATGACAATATTAGCAGAAATGGAAAAATTGACTTTTTGAGTAGAGAAAAGACAATAACTGCATTTATTAGTAACTGGAAATCTCTAATGAACTTTTTACTGAAAAAAGATGAACTTGAGATTTATGGGTTTGATATCAGAAAGGATAGACTGTTGAAAGAAATTATGTTGTAATGTTAGAGAGAAAGGGTAAATATAAAATATATAATGTACCTGTAACTTCTGTTAAGAAATTTGGAAGCTGCTTTTTTACCTCTTTTTCTCTCTTTTCCATCTCTATTTTGCACACACACACACACACACACCCTGATGATAGCAACATCAGGAAGAACTGGTATGAGAAGCTGTAGAAGTAAAAAGGGCTGAAGGAGGAATTACAGAGGAAAATGAAGGCCAAAAGCTAAGATTGCTCAAAACCCTCAAACTCCCAAACTTCTTGTAGGGGATCTGATATTGAGGAAGACTCATACCAGTCATAGATAAGAAGGAAATTTTTATACACTAATTTTAGGGTTTGTGGACTAATCTTTAAATCAATCTGTATTGCGCTTTATTTTCTAGATCAGCAATGTTTCCTCTTCGTTATTGTTCCTATATTCTGTTTCAGTCTGTATAGCAAGATTGTCTTGAGGAAGATACAAGAATTACAGCATTACAATGTTTCCTAGGATGCAGCCAACATAATCATCAACATACATTGCTCATTCTCTTTTCCACTGCTTTTTAAAAAAAATCTGACGAATCTTTCAGGTAAGGAAGATGCTTCCAAATGGTTGTTTACAACAATGTCTCCTAAATCCTTGTTAATCTGGTAACATACATTTACATACCTCTAGCATTGCTCTAATTCAACATTTTTCAAAACTAGCTTTTCTAAGAATCTACGACATCAACTTCTAAAATTTTCAAGGTAGCATGCTGGCTGGGGAATTCTGGGAGCTGAAGTGCATACATCTTAAAAATTGCTAAGTTTGAAAAACATTGTTCTAAATCATTGACAGTTTATTACTTGGTAAGTTTATTTCATAGCTGCAACGTGGTAGCTATCTAAAGCTCAGCCCTATCTAAAGCTCTATTATCACTCTTACTTAGCTCTTCAACATGTTCTGGCAAGTCATTATTAGCATTGAGATTTTTGATTTAAAAACAAAAAGTGAGTTCATTCATTCAATCTTTTAAAAAAACTGATTTTTAAAATGTATTTTTGTTTGATTCTTTAAGCAGCATATTTAACTAGAAAAGGGAGGTGATTTAATTTTTTTGTTTAGCTGAGATTGATCTTATTTGCCTGCTTGGCATGTGTATTACATGGAAATTTTAATAGAGGTAAAATTAAATGTTGGAAAAGAGGCTATTGTTCTTTAAAAAAAAAAAAAAACAAGATTCTTACAGATTCAGAAAAAAAATATTACCAGCACAGTCTCCAATCTCCTTCTTCCTCTCACAGAATTGGGGTGATTATGCTAATTTATTTTAAAAAAAAAAAACAGAAGACAGATCTCCAGCATTACTCTTTCATGTTTCATTTTTCATACATCATCTGCATTTTACTTGCCAAATTTATCTTTTCTCATTCTGCAAGCAGGTTAGTGTAACTTATTATGATACTCTACTTTCAAAGACTGTATTAACTTCCTGACTCTATAAAACAATGTGATACAGCTGGTTCAAATAACACTGTTACACAATTTTTATGTTTAATAATAAAGGCAATGTTAAGATGTTTTGTTTTTATGCAGAAGAAAATGTTTTTAAATGATAATTATATTTTATTAGTTCCCCCTCATCTTCTTAATTATAGGTGGATTATATTTTCCCAGCACACAAAACAAAGGGAGGGAGAAAAAGAGAAAAGGAAGAGTTCATATTAATTTTCATGCATTATTGCATAGATCAATTTCATTTAAACTCCATCTTTATTTTTTTCATATTTCAGATAAAATGTCCCATTTTTTTAGTACTTGTATCTATTTATGGAATTCTGGTTGCCTCTAATACTGTCTTAATAATAGAGAGTTGATGAGGCTAAAAAAATAATTCGTTTTGTGCATTCATGGAAACATTCTGCTCTAGCATCAGAATTTTGATTGACAGCTAATGTGCTTTTTAATATACCATCTTGTGAAAGAAACAGTCCTGTTGAACATGTTCTCTAAAGACAAACATGTTAGAAGTGTAAGAACTGGACTACCATCAGAAAACACGTTGAATCATTGTTTTTCATTAAACAATAACATCGACCTCAATAAATTCTGGGAAATATTCAGGGATTATTATAACATACAGCTGTCAAGAATTGATCTGCAACAATAAATGCCATAGAAAGCTGCAAATTTGAGTAATTTCTTGCATGGATCATTAATTTTTTCATAATTTAGCCATGTCAAAGCAGAATACCCTCAATCTGGTATCCTTCAGGTGATTTGTGAATGTAGCTCTTAGAATTTCCAGCCAGGATGACCAACGTCGTCTAGGAAGATTAGGCAACAGTAGCTCAGGATAGGCAATTAGGTGCCTTTCTGGTGTTCTGCCTTACAGGTGCCATCACACTTGCTCTTTGGTTGGCTGGTTTTTAGGTGATGAACCCAATTTGGCTAATATTGGCCTTCTGGCTTTGATATTATTTTCCTGCATTCTTACACAAGTTTTGTTGCCTAAGCCTGTAATGGTTGAACAAAAGATTCCCTGAACTCTTTTTAAATTAACTCTGAAGCAAAAACAAAACAAAAATAAACCCTCTCTGTGTTTGAAGAGAATACACACACACACACACACACACACACACACAAACACACACATGATCTATCTCCCATTCTTTTTTGGCATTTTCTTCATCTCCAAGTTAAACCCACAGTTGTACTGTATGGCCTGCATCCAATATTTTGCCTTCAACACAATACACTAGCCTAATCCAATTCTCAATACAGAATTTAGCCAGTACTCTATGTTTCTGGACTGAAAATTGGTTAACATGCTTTATATAGTTCATCTGGTGTATGCTGCATTTTGGGCCAACTAAATCAAGTGGCTTCTCAATGTTGCCATATTTGTGGGGATACAAGTATGCTGAAAAGATTCATATACAATATATTGTTGGGTGGTAGTGGTTATGATTTACACATATTTTCACATGAAATGCAATCATCTTTCCAAATGATCTCAGTGCAGCTGACACTTATAAGATGTTTAAAGTTTAATGAGTGTTTCCTGATTTTCCAATGTTATTGCTGGTTTTCTGGAAGACTCTATTCTGCAAGACTCAACATTTCTTTAATCTTTCTTCTCCAATTCTTTTTCTTTTCCCTTTGCTTTTTACAATTGAACATTACCCTTTAGTAGGTAAGCTGGTAAGTCCCCAGCATCCATCTTTGCGCTTAAAATGGCAATGCATTTAGAAAGGAAAACCAAATCTTGAAGGCTCTTTGAAGCATGTGCATGCTGTCTCTTTTACACACAGAATTCTAAAGCAAAGGAACATGATCGTACATTCTGCAGTTTTTGTGCTAATCCAAAATTGGAATGGAGAAAATAGCTGAAAACTACTAGTGTTAATGTTCCCTGCATCTTTACACAAAGAGATTAGGTTGCCAGCAAAATATGTCTTTAAATCAACACTGTTTTACTTAGTGAGGTATTTTTTATTTTCTGTTTATTTGCTTTGTTTAATGCATGTTTTTTCAAGCTACACTACAGGTGAAAGAGAAATACATTACCATTCAGTAATTCAATATAAATATTTAAGTCTGGATAAAGGCAACTTAGTTCCCATCTTATGGGAGCTCAGATAAAATGTTATAGGGGCTACAGATCTCTTCTTCAAAAGGTGAAGATGCAAATGAGATTTTTCCATTTCTTTGTTTTCCCCAGAATGTTTGGCACAACAGCATTTGCTATACAGAAAAGTGGATAAGTTTGAAATCTAATTTTATAATGTCATCAGACAATTTGTATTTGAATATATTTAAATGCTATTGTACATATTGATTTTTAATACATTTCTGAATTTTATTATATCTGCCAATTCTCGTTAAAAATAGAACATATTTAGAACAATCTCTATGATTGCAGCATAAACATCGGTTATATTTTACCATTTCAAAAGACACAAACGCAACAATGATAGAAGTATGCCTAGATAAAAATGGAGAATAAAATGAAACTTAGCAATCAGTTTCATAACCTCCCCCTGGAAGAAAGTATGTAGACATCTAGAAAAGAGGCATCATAAAATGTTCCTGTGATAGGAAAAAAAGTAGCCCAAACTTCCCTGGGGAAAAAAGGTGAGTGTTGGTGATAGGAAATTCAGTTCTTAATAGGTATGTTGTTTTCCTGGAGCAAAAATCAAAAGATGTGGCTGAAAAAAAAAACCTTTACTAAAATAATCAAATCACAGACTACTATCCCTTATTATGAACATCTTGTTAAAAAAGTTAAGGAGTTAGGAACTCAAGTGGTGTCTTCATCTGTACTTCCAACAAAAGGTCAGCATCCTATGAGGGAACAAAGGATTTTAGAAATGCTTAGCTTAAGAGTTGGTGTCACCAAGAGAACTTTGGATTCTTAGATTGTGGGCTGCAGCACCCTTCCATGCTCCATTTTGGGGTCTTCCTGGCCCCAGGGGAGCCTCTAGGGGGTGTTTTTTCTCCCAGAAGGCTCCCCTGGGGCTCAGGAAGAAAAAAAATGGAGCATAGGAGGGGCATACAGCACCCTTCAGCACTCCGTTTTGGGGCCTTCCAGGCCTCAGGGGAGCCTCTAGGGGGACATTTTTGCTCCCAGGAAGCCTCCCTGAGGCCCAAGAAGGCAAAAAATGGAGGGGAGGGCCCTCTCATTCATAATTCAGTTTTAAGCAGTAAGGCTTAAAAAGGGTTTTTAGACCCACACATAATTTTAAATCAAAGATTGATTAGATCCTTCCTCTTTTTCTTAGTATCACATACTCCAGTCATGACTTTGTTTCTCTCATTTATTCGTTTTTTCTTTAGTAAACATTTAAAGAAAGTCATAAACAAATGCAAGAGATATATGAAAAAAGAATAAAGGAATGTAATACAAATAAATAATTTTATTTAAAGTACCATGCAGATATTAATTTTCTAAAATATAATTAGTTATGAATAATTAAACATATTAAAATGATTAACAGTGCAAATCAAATGAAAGTTACCATTGGGAGTAAGTTCAGCAAATAGTACCAAAAATATATTCTGATTTAAATATCCATACAATTGAAATATAGATTCAATACACAAACAGTATCACATGTTGAATGCAACATTAGTTCTTTAGTTATAATCTAAAACTGGCTCCAAGTTCAAGTTGAAATCTCTGTCAGTTTTGCTTTTAAGATAGGAAATTATTGTAGAAGCAGATTCCCTTATTCTTCCTTCGAAAAGTTCAGACAATCTGAGACTATATAATATCCTTGCTAGGGCTGCCATATTTAAACCTAATAAGTATATTTTGATGGGGGAGGTGGTTTAGGGAAGTTTAGAAGAAGAAGGCTAGTAGGAAGACACTATGCACTTATTTTTCTGTTTATAAGAATCACCTCAGATAACATCTTAAGCATTAAAAAAAGTCCCTAAATTGTATAAAGGAAAAAGACTCTTAAAACATTTGGATTTCACTTTTTTTTTAAACTTTGCTAATTTAAAAAGTACAAAAGCCAACTTTATTGCCAATGAATCTGGTGATATAGCATTACTGACTTCTTTAAAAATAGATTCCCGGGTTGCAATTCCATCAGATTTTTCCAAGTTTTACATTTGGATATTGTTTCAGCATCAAACCAAATAAATATGTCAACTGAGCATCTTCTCTCTCAACCTCAGCTACACAATACCTGGTTTCTTATTTGCATCACCTTTCATCTCAACACATACTTCCTAGAATCAATTTTCTTTATTCCAATTTTTAAAAAATGAATTAATATCCAATGTGCAAATCCATTGTATCAGAGCTTATGTTCTGAATTGATTTTAAGAATGAAACAGCAAATGCTACAAAAAGCAGATAAGCTTATTTTATTTTGAGACAGAATCGAGAAAATTGTCTTGAATGAAAATAAAATTCCTTAGGCAAATCTCAAGGCTTGGAAACCATAGATATAAACTGTTGCATTATGCCTACATATCTGTGTAAATTTACCATTTTACAACTGTGACTTTTTAACTTTTCTTCAACATCTTTGGTAACAAATTTACTTCCCTTGTAATTTTTCCTCTCTGAGGCAACAAATAGCTTGGAAAGAAAATGCTGAAAGGACAAATAATGGAGGAAAGGATTAAACTGTCCCTTTTCTTGCCTCCCCCTCTCCCCTATGATAAACTGGCTACTTACTCTTCTGTAATTGATTTCCATTGCATTCATACATTGTTGCCTTTATAATCTGAGAATCCTGGCACATAGCAAAATGTAATTTTACTGGTATTTGACTAGGACTATGCAAACTCTTTTATAGCCTAATATTTTCCTTGGAGATTGAAGGCAGCCACATGGACCTCAGGTCAATGTGGGGTTCTGATTCATTCCTCACTTTGAGAAAAGACAGTCTTGGCTTTCCATTAACAGGAAAGTCTGCAATTTTATTTTTTTTAAAAAGGTGAAGATCCCACCATTGCACCTACTATTTTAAATCAAATCTAGCCTACAGCCTTGAATTTTGGGAGGAAGAAGTTGGGGAATCTGCCCAAGAAATAAGCAGAACAAACTCTTTTCAGATTTTCCAGACCATCCCAAAATTATTCTACTGCACTGTGACTTTGAGTTCTCATTGAACCTAAGCATTTTCCCAAGAAAAGCTAGTAGAAATTTATGATCATTTTCTGTGGAATTCTGTGGAACTGCAACAGTACACCATTTATTTATTTGATTGCTAGGCCAGTCAACTTCAAAGTAAGTCTGCATGGCTTTAAAAAGTTTACACTAATATTGCATTAAAACAACAGCAATATATAAAACTGTCCAAGGGATCAACAAAAAGTTATTAAAATGTAAAAATATGTATATGGTTGTATATGTAATACATTGGCCAAAATACCTCAAACTGTCTGATATTGTCCTTATATGCATGTGTCAGGAGTATGATTAAATCTAGTCTATATTTTCTGTATTTTAGAAAGCGTTGCCAAGGGTTCAATTGAGCAAAGCAATGACAAGCTGCAGAACTTAATATCTATGAGTCCAACTTGAAATGGAAGAGAAGTCAATGATAATGGGCATAAATTATCAAACAGCTTGCATTAATTTGTTTGGTTCAATGTAAACAAGAATAGGCTCTCTATGACAGATGATACAATAAGTAATACATTGTTTAGTAAAAGGTAAAGGTTTCCCATGTCCAGTCATATCTGATGCTAGGTAAGTTGCTCATCTCCATTTCTTAGCTGAGGGAGCCAGCATTGTCTGTAGATATTTCCATGGTCATATGGCCAACATGACACGGTACATGGAACAATTACCTTCCACCAAAGTGATAGTTATCTATTTACCTACTTACTTGTAATTGCATGCTTTTGAACTGCGAAGTGGGCAGGAGTTGGGGAAAGTAAGGGGAGCTCACCCCATTGTACAGCACTCGAATCTTGAACTTGGCTGTCAGCTTTCTAGTTCAGCCTCTAACTGTTGAGCCATTGTGCTCCCACTATATTGGTTACATTATTATAAATACAAGAACAGAATGAATCCAGTCCAGATGTCTCCTTTACAATATTGTTAAATTTTAGTTTTATGAAGCAGAAAGTACCAAGAAATTAGTTCAGTAGAGAGCCAACAATTTGTTCATATAGACAAAGATTAAAGATACTTGAAAATTCTAATCTCATAATAGCCTAGTTTGTGTGATAAGTTTCAGTATCTTCAAATATGTAGTATATAATATCAAAAGAATTGAAGAAACAAAAGTGAATATTAAGAGACTTGATTGAAAATCTTATTATATGTAACTCAGAACATTAGTTGGACTATGTATAGACTATTGGGATTTTTTATTCCGATACCAATCAAATGTACATTCAAATAGCTGCAGGACTTAAATATAGCAGTAGGGATGCAAAAGAAGTTTCAATGGAAGAAAACATTAAACTTACTCTGAACATTATATTTGAAAAAAACTAATATTAAGATGATTTATTGCTCACTTCTGATTAGTAAAAAGGATCATTTATTTTCAAAAATTGCATAAGATATAATTAAAATGTCAACTCATTTTTTAATATTTGGTAGCAATACCATAAAGCTCAATAGTTCTGGAAATTATTCTCATTCATATGTAACAAATATAAAAAATTGAATTCCCATTTCAAATATCTCGATAGTGTGAAATTTAAAAATCTTGCTTAGAATTCTTGTAGCTGTTTTCCCATTATTCCCAGTCTAAAGGAATGTGACTGCAGAAGTAAATGCAGTTAATTAAAATGGGCTGGCTATTAAAGTGCATAAAATGTACATATTGGTTAAATTGAAAAATAAGCCATATCAATGTTATGATCTGGTTTTAGAGAAAAGAGAGAGGAAACAAGATATGGGAAAACAAGATTAAATAAATTAAAAACATGAGATTTGAAGGCACCTGTCAAGTGAAGACATCCAGAGCTGTTGGATTCTGATCCCAAGTTTAGGCGCTCTCACTTACAGATTCTCATTTGTATGAAAAGTGGGTACAGTTAGCTGTTATATATAGTTTGAACCTGTGTATGTGATATTTGCTTACCATCAATGAATTCCATCATTTAAAATAGATATCAACTATTATTAAAAGTCAGCAATAAGATGATTTAAAAAAAGCTAAGTAGGTCCCCTGGTAAGTGTAAGGCAGGGAAATAAGAAATGACTGGTAGTTATTTTTTTCTGCCAACACAATATGAGTATTCTATGCGTTTGCTTTGTCTGAAGTATTCATTTGTCTTTTTATTAATTTACTATTCTTAAAGTTATTGTTAATGAAATTTTACTCCTGGTACATTATCTCAATATTCACTCAGAAAATATTGAGGCTGGATATTGGTGTAAATAAAATCAGCAGGTCTAATTTACTCATGTCTAAGCATTTCTACATTTCACATAAAGCTTATTTCAGGCTGAAAATGTTGAAGCACATTAACGATTTCTAGCTATATTACATTAGAGTTCTAGTATTTCTAGATACAATGGTTTGGCCATGTTAGCTGGACTTTGGTTAGTTTAGTACAAATATTATTCTGTTGAGAGAGGGCTGTTCCATTTTAACATAGATGACCTCTTTGACCCCTCTTGCAAACCAGTAGTCCTCTCAGTCCAGAATGTGGACTTTGCTGTCTTCAAAAGAGTGGTCCTTGTGTTTCAAATGCTGATGGTCTGCTGAATCTTGTCCTGATAGGTTTGTTTTCCAATGTTGTGCCATGCATTTGTGAAATGATTGTTTTGTTTCTCCAATGTATAGATTTTCACATGTGACACTGCATTGTACTGCATATATCACATTTCTCAGTTTATGCTTAGATGTTTTATAGACAAGCTTCTGCCTTAGTGTATTCTTGGGCTTAAAGTGTATTTGTATGTTTTGTTGGTTGAACAGACAAAGAAGAGAACAACAAATGAAGCAACATTGTCATTCCATACTTTGCAGAACTATCTGAAAAGGTCAGGAGGATTTTCAACCAACACAACATTCATACTAACTCTGCTGTTGTTCAGAAGGATGATGGAGGACTTTAGCAAGGGAGAGTGTGATCCCTCTCTTTTAGTTCATCTGACTATTACATTTGCCATTGTTTATTAATTTGATTATAATTTGTTTGATGTGAGCTACTTAGAATCATTGAGTGTCTGGTAGCATACAATTTTAGTTCATCATCTTCATCACTGAATGCATTGACGGGCTTACACATCACACTTAGAATATAAAAATATATAAAATATCAAACTGTCTACCGTGAATCTCACCCCATTCCTAAGAGGTCCATAAAAGGGACGTACATAAGTGCCCCAGCATGCCTACCGTCCCTGTCTTACTGTCCCCATTTATCTGTATTTACTTCCTTTCTTCATGTTTATGCTCATACCTATACTTGTTATCTTGTATATGTTTGACAAACAAACATGCAAATATGATAAAATGGTGAGAATATTATACCACATGTTTATTAAATGTGGACTTCAGTTGCCAGAAGTCTGAAGAACACCCAATTGAAACAGGCAACATTAAAATGTGTTTGTTGGTTAAAGTTATAATCTTCCTTTCCTCCAGAGCTCATGTGGGATTAATTATATTCTCTCCAGCATTTTCCCAGATAGTAAGATAGGTTCCAGAAGGTAGGTTGAACTATGAAAATGTCACTGGTCTGTTGTACTTCCATGACTGAAGGTGAATTTGAACTACTCCAGTCCTAAGCCAGCACCATATTATCAGATGGACTTAAGACTCCTACTCAAAAGTGAAGTTCACCTTAAGTGAATCACTATCTAAGCTTAATCTATCCCACAAGATTCTTGTGAAGATAAAATGGAAAAGGAAAGAGCAATGTAATGTGCTAGAAATAGCAAGTGTTCTTTAGGAAATAGTAAAGAGTTGTAAGAATCAGTTCCTAGATGACTTCCTTCTCATATGCATTCCTTATTTTTCTTTCTTTCTGTTTGTCTTTCTCTCTCCCTCTTTTACTTTCCTTGCTATTTCTTTCCTAATTCCTCTTTTTCAGATTAAGTAAGATGCTTTCCTAAAAGTGACCCATGTTAAATTATTAGAGCACAAATAAAAACTACCCTTGTACTAATCTTGTTTTATCTATCTAGGTCTATGGCACAAGAAGATAACCTATAGCTCTTTAGATATAGCTGGGCTTCAAATTCCATTAACCTTTACTACCACTAGTCAAAAGTAAGGGAATCTGGAAATTATATTGTGCAACATTTGGATTGCCACAGGTTATCACACCTGAGGTTATGCAATGAGGCTAAGTGAAGTCCCAAGTGATTGAGAGAGAACATTGACTTGAACTTCAAAAAAAAAAGGGGGGGGGGTGAAGACGTGACAATTTCTAGACCAGTAATATTTGTATCTAAGGAAAATTTGAGTATACTTTATACCAAAAGAGGACTGCTTTTCCATCAATAAAGCATGTCCAAGAGCTAAAGCATTAACCAACCAAACTTGTTACAATTGTATTAACAAAATACATGTTGATGTTCTTTTAGAAGGCAAACCTTGCCAGATGGAGGTGGATACTGGCTCTCCCCTTTCCATCCTGTCCTGGAACAGCCTGAGGCACCTGGTTCCTAACATTTCAAGAAAACAACTGATACCTTGCAAGCTGTCACTGCAAGACTACCAAGATCAAGCCATCGGAAAAGGCAAGTTTCATATCCAATTTCAACACTTCAAAGGATACCTCCCTCTTGTTATAGTGGGTGGATGCTTACCAAGTTTGTTAGGACTTGATTGGTTTGCCTCCCTGGGCTTACAGGTGACTGGTATTAATTCAGTTACAACACAAGATTTAAACCAATTACTTTCTGACTTTGCTGAGGTTTTTGATTGCAAACTTGGTTGTTATAAAGGCACACCCATCTCACTTAATTTGGACCCCCAGGTGGCTCCAATCAGACTCAAACTGCACAGAATACCTTTAGCCCTGTGCCCCAAAGTTGATGCTCAGCTGGACAAGCTTATTGCCCAGGGAGTGCTAGAGCCTGTGGATTTTGCAAAATGGGAAACCCCCCATAGTCATTCCTTTAAAACCGGATGGCTATATCAGGATATGCGCAGATTATAAATCCACAATAAATAAGGGGCTCCAGCCCAATGCCTACCCAGTGCCCATTATACAACACCGCTTCATTCACTGGGCAAAAGTTCATTTTTTGTGAAATTAGTTATGACTCAGGCATACCAGCAATTCCCTGTGGATGATGAAACTGCTGAAGCACAGACAATAATAACACAGAGAGGCGCTTTCAGATGCAAGCGCCTCCAATTTGGCATAAGCATAGCAACAGACATCTTCCAATACATAATGGAACATTTATTATACAACATCCCAGGAGTTATCCCCTACTTTGATGACATCCTTATTGCAGCTGACAATACCAAAGATCTTTTAAGTCAATTAAAAAGAGTATTGTCTTGTTTCAAAAAGACAGGGCTTAAGATCAGCAGAAAAAAATGCAAATTTGTTACTGATCAGATAGACTTTTTGGGATACCACATTGATTCTGCTGGCATACACCCAATTGAATCTAAAGTTAGAGCCATTCAGGAAGCCCCTGTTCCTAGTACAAAAACTGAATTGCAAGCATTTTGGGGCCTCCTAAATTTTTACAGTTCATTTTTGCCCCATAAAGCAACTGTGGCAGAATCTTTACATAGGCTATTGGATGCTAAGAAATGGGGCACTAAGGAACAATCCTCTTTTGAACCCGTTAAGTCATTATTGACTTCACAAAAGTTCCAATTCAACAATTCACTCCCTTTAGTTTTGGTATGTGATGCTTCACTTTTTCGGATAGGTGCTGTTTTATGCCATAAGCTTCAAAATGGTCAAGAAGCTCCTATAGCATTTTTCTCTCAAACACTATCCCAAACAGAGAGAAACTACAGCCAAATAGATAAAGAGGCCTTCAGTTAAAAAGTTTCATGAATACCTTTATGGCCATCATTTTTAACCTGTCACAGATCACCAATCTTTGCTGGGCATTTTAGCTGGAAACAGACAAAGTCCTCCTATCCTATCTCCATAAATGACACGTTAGACTTTATTTTTGGCTGCCTAAGTTACACCCTTACTTACAGGCCTGGCAAGAATGTGGCACATGCAGATGCTTTAAGCAGGTGCCCTTTACCTGTTCCTGTATCTGACCCTGCCCCAACATCCTCTATTTTCCTCATTGATGAACTGCAATTGCCACTCAATGCTGCTGACATTGCTCAATTTACTTCCAAAGATACACAGTGGTGTCAAGCTTTGGACTGGGTGTGGTGTAAGAGGGCCTGTAGCAGTGGATTTGTGCCATTTTAAAACACACCAGTTTGAGCTGAGTGTTCAAGAAGGATGCCACCTATGAGGGAGCAGGGTAGTTGTTCCTTACAAATTTTAGGCCTCGTATTTTAGATGTGTTACATAAAGGGCATCCTGGGATAACCAGGATGAAAACTTTGGCCTAAAGGTATGTTTGGTGGCCTGGGTTAAACGAGACAGTAAACAAGAAGGTACAAGGGTGCCAAACATGTCAATTTTCAAGGCCAGTATCTCCTGCTGCCATGCCTGGGGAGTGGGAGAATACCAAGACTCCTTGGTCCCGAGACCATATAGATTTGTCAGGCCCCTTCCAATGGAAAACATTCTTAGTTTTGGTTGACTCCTATTCTAAATGGGTTGAGCTATCCCTGCTAAAGTCTACAACTTTAGAAGCTGTTGCCTAGGGCCCTTGATAGATTTTTGGGACTCATGGGTACCCAGATACCCTAGTTTCTGACAATGGCCTCCAGTTCATTTCCAGCCCCTTTGAACTATTCCTAGCCCAAAGGGGAATCAGACATGCCCTTATCTCTCCTTATCACCCAGCAATGAATGGCTTGGCTGAATGAGCTGTTAGATCAGCCAAAGAGGCTTTAGGCAGAATAACTGAAGGGGATTGGCCTTCCTGGGTTGCCCTATATCTCCTAACTCAACACACTACCTCCAGCTCTGCAACTAATCTCTCACCCGCGGAACTACTAATGGGCAGGCGGCTGAGAACCACCATTGACCATCTGCATCCGGCTTATGCCTCTGCAACCCCCTTAGATTCGAGCAGCAGAGTTAGAACCTTCAGCCTAAACAACCCAGTCTACATCAAAATTATGCGTGAAACCCACTGTGGCTGCCAGGGTGGATAGAGGGGGTTACTGGGCTAAAATCTTTATAGAATAAGATTGTCCGATGGGAGAATTTGATGATGGCACGTTGACCAACTGAGAAGTCATTGGAGTGCCCCTACAGATCCGTCCCTGGAAGAAGCCAAGGCCAAAGCAAGTGATGTGAATTCCCCAGTGACCTACGAGAAAGAACTGGAGCTGAATTCCGAAAAGTGGTGTCTTGAGGCAGGCCTACCTTTAGAAAACTCCCTGCCAGTTCCTGATGTACTCCCGTGTGAATTTTCAGCATCACCCCCAGTTCTGCAGCAGGTCCTCTCCCTTCAAATGCTCTGGCCGGAGTGAGGAGATCGGGGTGATAGTAGGCAATGTCCCGCCTACTATCCTACGTATAACTACAGGGAAGGAATGTAGCGTTCTACTGAAGTCTTCACTCCGGTCCGCTCTTTGAGCGGGAGCCAGAACCCTTCCTGATTGGCTGATTCCATTTGACAGCTGAGTATAAAAGGAGCTGTCAAATAGAATCAGCTGTTCTCTATCAGCCGGCCACCTGTTAGTTAGCAGCAAGCCGTGGCTGCTTTACAATGTTACAATAAACCTTGTTAGCCTTTCACTCTCGCCTCTGCCTCTTTATCCCCGTGCACCAAATACAAAAGTAACCTTTCTATCAGCCTTCATGAACACCCTATGATGACATTGTGGCTCACGAGAGATCCGCAGAGCACAGGTTGAGAACCACTGATGTACAGAATTTAACATCCAAAGTATCCCATGATATTCTAAATATATTTGTACTTATAACTGTGACGAATATTGAAAGCCACTTTTTAATATTTTTTTCTTTCTTCAATTTTTTTGACTTTTTACTGCTCTTTTGTTATATTTTTTCTTCCTTTCTGTTATTTTTAATGAAGTTTTAATAAATGTGTGTGTGTGTAGTATCTCATGATTGTTGAGTTCTGATTCTAATCCTATTTAACAATTTTTATTAAGGAAAAAAATAGAATATTTTTTTATAGATGATAAAAATATAGCATGCAGTTACTTAACACTCTAGTTGAAATGAAAATCAAAATTGTCTTGACTAAAAGACTGAAATTACCAGAATAAAGT